GCTGAGGCACAAATGCCGTTCTTGTGCTGCTTCAACGGCATCAGCAGCACTAAGGAGCAATGAAAATCATTTTCATTTTGTTTACGGGAAATACAAAATTTGGCAAGATAGAGTTAATTTGCTGATGATGATCACAATCTTGAGCTCACGCTGATCTGGAGGGACCGGCGAATGCTATGTGCTAAGACCCCGAATCCCTCCCCATTGTTAACTTAGTGTCTTTGCAGTCTTTCAGCACAAGCAGTGCAAACATTCATTCAGTTTTGTTTCTTGTTCAATGCAAATGCCAGTCTAGAAACACTGATGCACCTGCTTGCTCGGCTCTTGGATATGGCATCTTAAGAGAAGGGAGAAGATAAAGCTCAATTTTTTCAAGGCAGTAACTGTTGAGCCATTTGTTTATCTCTTTCTAGGAATTTCCACTCCTTGTTTATAAACCCTGTGGGTGCAGCTCACCTACAACCGGAAAGGTTATTGTCTGGTATGACCTTTGAAACAGGACTCCTTCCCAGTTTCAGGTCCTACTGAAAACTGGTCAGAACTATTTATTTCACATTCAGATCGGAGCCGATTTTCCTCATGGAGTGCACAGATCATGCACTCCTCGTGCACCGTAGTCTACGACTCATTAGGTTGGTCACCCCTCAGGATTACACCTGTCCTGCTGACAGTGCCCTCTTGTACACATTTTGAGGTGTGTTTAGAGCTGTGTATGTAGAGTTTTGCTCCTCTACCCTGTTCATTCCTGGGGGGGTGAGGAAGAGGTACCCAGTATTCTAGATAACCAGGGAGTGTTGTGTTGCATTGAGCATGCAGAGTTGCCTGCTGCGTCTCCTTCCCAGCCTGCCTTTCACTGCAATAAATATTTACAATACATATTAGACTTTTCATTTTTACCACTGTTTAATGTGAATACGGAGGAAAAGGTATATTTTTATTGTGGTACATTTTCCCCTGCTTTTTATACTGTAGATCATGGATTTTCCTGTCTGTTTAAAGATGCTGCTCTCCTAATAAATACAGTTCCATCAGGTTTATTTCATTATTTCCCAAGCTCTGCTGCCAATTAAAGCTGTCATGAGTGTAAGGGGTGGAGGTATTGACAAAGGAAGAACAGCAGCAATTACAAAGGAGAGACATGCAGTAGCTCAAAGCTGTAAACATCATACTAAACCCGCAGTAATTACCCCCGTTCTCAATAGCAGACAAACTTCCAACGGATTTCATCATTACAGATAGTGCAAAAAAAGAAAAAAAGGAGCAAGAAAAAAAATGTCAAGAGCTCGCACAAAACAGAAAAACAACTTTGCACAGAAAGAAAAAAAATCAGACCAAAATAGGACCAGTAAATGATTGCTAATTTATGCAGATTTTCATTCGTTGTAATCCGCACGATAATTATGCACAATAATGTTGTAAATGGAATGCATAAAAGTGTCTTGCAGTGTCGAAGCTGAGTAGAATTCATTATTGCAGGGCCCTTGTGTTAACACTGCACTGGCAGTGAGCGGTGTCTTCCAGATGCCTACAGAAGTCATTACCACAGGCACTGTGGCCGGTGACTTCCTGGATTTTCTTTTGGAAAGGAGGGATTAAACTGAACAAAGCTGTTATCAACCGTGCAGCAGATACAAGCACCATAATATTTATTGTTATTAGCTCAAAAACAAGAAAAAAAGATTTAAGCACCACTCAGTCTCTTTCTAAAGATTTCCCTCTAAAATGTGTTGGAATATGCATTAACGTTACTGCTGTGTTTAAACACTTCTACACTGAGGGATGACGGCTGATGTGTACTATATATTTACACATATGCACATATCTCACTTACAGACAGCAGTTTTAATTTTGAAAAATATTATCGGCTGAATCTTAAACTAGGAAATCACTTGTAATGTGAAATTTAATTTGAGAAAATAAATAAAGCCCACGTTGTTAAGGGGTGGCAGTCTGTGCTCCTGGGAACAGGGTTCGAGTCCGGGCTGCGGATTCTTCCCTGCAGTTTGCATGTCAGTCTTGTCTTCTGCTCCGATTAATTTCTGCCCTCATGCTGTTTAGGTTAAGTGGTGTCTCTAAATTGCACCCGATTGTGCCCCTCTTACACTCTGCTCTGTGCTCTGTGCTTTTGGGCTGCTTTCTGGTCTCTTGTATACTGCACAAGGAATGCTTGGTTTTGTGATATATTTTATATTTACATATTTTAATGTGACTTTTACTTTCAATAAGCCAAAAGACTTAGCTGTTTATGGCTAGGGGCTGTGACGCCACAGAGATTTTCGTGATCCGGTTATTTGGGGATCTGCGCTGAATTTAAAAGCAGCTTTCATTACGGAGTTTTTAATATGGAGTCAATAATCCCGCAGTTGTAGATCAGATGTATGTTGTAGCCTGCCTGCCTCCTCAGCAAGCTCAGGTGGGGGGTTTTTCGCGGTTGTGGACAGAGATTGGTGCTCTTTTGGTGGAGGATCCCTAAGCAGGTTAAGTATAAAGGATGATGGCTAGCCCTTTCATTGCTTCCAATTAAACCCTGCTTGTTAGTTTAACCTCTAGGTAAACCCATCAAACAATTGATGTCAAGGAAACACTGCCAACAGTGGCTTCGCTTGAATGGTCATTAATTTTAATTGCCTAGATATTAAAGATTTAGAAGCACTGAGACTTGCAGGATAGAAACGATCTGATGTCATGCAAATCCACTCTCCACAGCCTCGCCGGGCTGCGGCAGATATTAAAATTTAAGCGCGGGGATTGGAAATGAAATAAACCTTCATTAAGGGCAGCTGCTCTTTGCTTGGTCAAGGAAGGCTTCAGTTCCGAAGATGAGGAACCTTGTGGAAATTCTCTCTGACAACAACGCTCTTCAATTTCTTGGGCAATTAAGGAAAACAGACATAATCTGGGCCTTTCCTCACGGTGACTCTCCTAAGCGGGAGCCTTCTTCACGTTTGGAAAAGTTTCATGTAACAGTATTTTTGTAGTGTTTGTCTGTGGATGTCAAGAATGTGCTCATTATTTTTCTGTTCTGCCGCCCATAGCGATAATTTTATTAAGCATATTAACCACTGGCTTCAAAAACATTTATTCTCCACGTGAGATAAATGGTTTTCTACCTCCAGTTCCCTGGAATATATGTGGGGAGAAACAATTTCTTTCAGAACTTAACATTTTTATCTGTTTCTCTAATACATGCATGGCTGATATTTCAGAAACAGCTACATACCCTGAATGCAGTGTGCATTAAAGTTCTTTAATGATGGGCCCTACAAGACCCAAGACTTTGAAACATAGGTACAGGTCCTAATACTTTTGCTATTCGAAACCAATTAAGACAGCATCTACACCCATCCTTCGACTTACAAATAATGGTTTAACCAATTTTTAACAAAGCGCACTTTTTCACACCCGTTTTTTCGCAGTCATGAGGAGATTTTTAGCTGCAGTAACGCTGTGTCCTTCGTAGCTGATTGGGAAATGTCATCCTCATCCTCATAGCATATCCTCCAGTCAGTGCATCTGCCCTCTGGGTATTTTGACACATTGTATTTATCCTCTCGGTACTGCACATGAGTGAGCAGTTTGACGAACTACAACAATCCGGCAGTTGTGCTCCATTAGGGAAACAATAAGCAACACCAGGTGACTTTCTAGGCCTGGGGAATTTTACATGGAGTGTTTTCCAGGGACGAG